TGGATATTTGCTGTTTTTTTTTTTTTAATTTATTGCGGAAGTGGCTTCAGATTCTCAGTGCTGTGCTTTAACCCGCTGTGCCACCAGGGAGGGCCGATATTTGCTGTTTTTACTGTCTAGCATCCCTCACCATGCCATTTGGTGGTAGTACCAGGAACAGTCTTTGGGTAGCCGCCATTTCTTCCTCTTCAGTCTTTCCCAACTCAATGTGTGCCAGTTGATTTCCCAGAATAGGCAAGTGGCCCAGGCCTGGCCCACTGGCACACAGAATCCTCCTTAGCCACGGTTGACTGGATCATGTTCGGCCTTCTCTCTGGCTACAAAGATTGGTTTGGGATAGAAAAATGACCCCAACTGGCCCATAGTGAATCCTAGACATGTTAGGAGTTTCAGGAAACAGATGCATTCTTTTTCCGCTGAATTTAAGCCTGAAAAGATATAGATCTAGATTTTCTGGCAACAAACTTGTTATGCTGTGGCAAATGAAGCCAATGTGGAGGAAAGTAGAGCAGATGATGGGAAGAGACAGGATCCTCATGACACTGAATACCTGGATCAAGCTTTTGAGCCACATCCAAAGCCAGACCCCTGTTATATTTTAATTATTTTTAAAAATTTTAAAAAAGAGTTATTTATGGGCCCTCCCTGGTGGCGCAGCGGGTTAAAGCACAGCACTGAGAAGCTAAAGCCGCTTCCGCATGAGTTCGATCCCCGCCTGCCCCGGAGGTGACCACATGGCGTGGCAGACCTCTCCTGACCCGCCCGCTGCTCCCCTCAGCAGTGTACTTTGTAGATTTGCCTGTTCTGTTCCCCACTCTGTCTCTGGTGAAGCCTTTCGCCGCTCCTGAACCTCTGGCCTATATCCCAGTTCTGTATGCACAAATAAATAAATCTTTTAAAAAAAAAGAGTTATTTATTTATGCATACAAAATTAGGGTACAGGCCAGAGGTGCAGGGGTGGTGAGAGGATTCTCCAGACTCAAAGTGGGGATCAGAACAGGCCGACTGACAAGTACACTGCTGAGGGGAGCAGCGGGTGGGTCAGGAGAGGTCTGCCATGCCATGTGGATTGCTGAGATCAAACTCATGCTGAGGTGGCTTTAGCTTCTCAGTGCTGTGCTTTAACGGCTGCTCCACTAAGGAGGGCCCCTCATTTGGCATTCTTAAGGCACTTTAGGTCCAGCTGGGTGCAGGGCGCTGAGGTCCCTTGGGGCCCCACCCAAGGTAAAAAAAAAAAAAAAAGCAACGCCTGCTCCTTTTCTCCATAGCTTCCTTTCTTTTGGGGCACTTGTCTTGTGCCAGGCACTATGCTGGGTATTTTACGTTCCTTCTCAGATATAATCCTCACAGCGACTGGAGGAGTGGAGAAAATTACTGTAACACCCATTAAACAGATGAGGAAACTGCAGCTGGGAAAGTTAATGACGGAACCAAAGATCAGCGACTAGTGACAGAACCGGGTTCCAAGACGCGCTTAAGCACTGCCTAAAGAACTGTGGTCGTTCGGGATGGGCGGATCCCTGTCGAATGGAGCCCAAGGAAGATTGGGTACGAAGCACGGACATTCGGGACTTCGGGCGTTGATATTGTCCAGAGTTGCTTGGAGATAAGATTGGGCGCGGTCCCAAGGGCCCAGCTCGAGCCACTGTATGCTGAGCCGCGTTCCCAGTGGCCACAGGGTTTTCCGCGCCCTGGGAGTCGAACTTGCCAGGTGGGGGCGGTCGGTGGGGTGGGGCTTCTCTGGGTCCACCCCTTGTCCAGGTGAGCCGCCTGCGACCCAGCCGGGAAGGGATGGTGCACCCCCGCAGCACACTCGAGTCGTAGGGTGCCCTGGCTGTTGGGCTGTCGGCCAGGGGTGCTTGGCGCTCCGGGGACTGGCTGGGCCGGCTGGGCCGTTGGCGGGGGTGGAGGAGCAGGGTGCCGCGCCCGGCCCGGCCCAGGTGTTGTCTCCGGGGGCGGGGTTTGGGCACCCAGCAGCGGGAGATTCCCGGTTGGACAAGCGGGAGATCGTCGAGGGATAGAAGCCGAGGAAACGCCACAAAGCCCCGCGGCGCGCTGAGCACAGGACGCGGGCAAAAGCGCGGAGCCTCCAGCATGTTCACGCGAAACCACCGGAGCCGGGTCACCGTGGCCAGGGGCTCGGCCTTGGAGATGGAGTTCAAACGCGGCCGCTTCCGACTCAGCCTCTTCTGCGACCAGCCGGAGGTGAGAGCCCGGCGCCTCTGCCTACCCCTCCCCAGGCTCCCGCAGCCCCCGGCCGCCGCGTCCCCGACCCCGCCCAGCGCGCGCCGAGGGGCGGAGGCGCCGCGGTGCGGGTGCGAACCGGTTGCTGTAGACTTAAAAAGTCAGAAGCGGACCGTTTGCGCGCTGATCGGACCGGTGCCATCCCAGCCACTCCCTGGCCCAGCTGGGATGGTTTGCCTCCGCCTGGAACAACTCCAGGTTGCGCTCAATTGAAGGGGCCTCAGGCTCACTTCCAAAAATATGCTTAGACGCCGGCCCCTCCCGGGCCACCCCTGGCAAATGGTGGTGGGCAGGTAGGCGGGCTCCAACAAAGAGCTCGGACTCTTGCCCCGGGCGCCGTGCCCTTTCCGGCTGCCAGGCCCATCCCACAACCTGGAACAGACTTCATCAGCAATCTCGACTTCTAGGGCAGGTCTGCGTCCTTTGCTGCAGCCTCCCCACCTGTTGTTTCTGTGCTCCCGAAGGACTGGGGTTGTGTGTGTTTGGACACGCCCGTTGAGCGATATGGGTGATTTCCCACACCCGAACTTTCAGCCTCCTTTCCTAGGGCCTAAGAGGAGTCCTGCCTCCAGTCTGACGACTCCACACCTTGCGCGTGTCGGAGCCCTACCTATAACTCCCTTAAGAGGCTTGGGAGGAGCCGAAAGCTGTGGGGCTGAGGTTGAGTAGCGACAGCGAGGCGGCTGTTCACAAGGTCACTTCTCCTTCCCTCTGGGTCTGCAAAGGGTTAAGTGAGGGGCCCTTCCTCCCGCCCCCGTCTCCCTCCGGGCTGGGATTCCAAGCCTGGCTTCTGCCCTTTCCCCCCGAAGCTGGCCCAGAACAAAGGCCCTTTCACTTCGGAGTCCCGGTGTCCCGGGGCTTCACTGACTCAGAAGCTAGCGGACCTTGGAGGAGTGGACCTTTCTCGGGTCCGGGTCCCCCCCACCCCCCGCAGTACTCAGCGGAGAACCCAGGGTAGGGGAGAGAGGGGCGAGGCCCAGAGACCCGGAGGAGGGGCTTGTGAGCGGTGGCCGGCCCCTGGGTAAGCCCTGCCTCCCGGCTCGCGCGGAGGAGCTGGGCGGAGCTGCAGGCCCGGCCGGCGACCGAGGGGAGTGTGACTCCGCGGGCCCGGGCTGGAGGGGGATAGGCAAAGTTGCAGCTGGCTGGGAATCGGGGCTGGTTTCCTGTCTGGAAGGGAAGGGGCCCGCAGAGGGGAGCGGGGGCAGCAGCAGACAGGCACACCCCTGCTTTCTCCCTCCCTCTCCTCCCAGCTACTGGAAAAAACGAGGTAATTGTGAGTCCAGGGTGGGGCGGGCTGGATGGGGGTTCCAAGTTGGGAGAGGTGGCTCTGAGGATTGGACCTCGTTTGCCCCTTTGTCCCACTTCCCGAAGGGTTCACTGTCCCCTCAAGTCGTCACCTCAATTCCTCTTCTTCCAACTAAGCCAGAGACCGCTCAGACAACTTCAGCCTTAGGACAAATCCCAGGACTTTCTGGAACCTGCATGAGGCTCCCCCTCCCTGCCCCCTTCCAGCTGTGCCTGCCCCTCACGCTGTACTGGCACACAGATTCTCTGTCCACTCCGCCAGGGATGTGGGCGGGGGCTGGGGAGGGACCAGAGTCGGAATGAAAGGGCCCTTTTCTTCCACAGCTGGGAGAACAGCTGCCACCAAAGCAAGACTGGACACTCTGTGCCCAGAGTCCCCTCTGCAGCTGGCCTCCCTTCCTGGAGCTGGGCTCCTCCTCACCTCGCCCTCCTTTCTTCCCTGGTCTGCCTCCCACCAGGGGCCTGCAACCGCGGGAGGCAAGGAAGGTGTGCAGCCAGAGGGGTCTGCAGAGCAGAGACAAGGGCAGCCTCTGCTCAAGAACTGCCTACTTCTTTCAAGACCAGGGGAACTGTGGGAGGAGAAATTGTGGGGCACAGCAGAGCTTGCCCGCCCCCATTCCCTCTGGAGGGCTCGACAAGGGAAGGGGCATTAGGGGGCACAGAGATGCAGGACAGATTGCACATCCTGGAGGACCTGAATATGCTCTACATTCGGCAGATGGCGCTCAGCCTGGAGGTAACGCCCCCACCCCTGGACCACTGCTCCTTTGCATGCATCCCAGCCCTGTCTCTGCCTTACCCTTCCCAGCTGGAGTTGAGGGAGGAGTGGGGAGAAGGATGTGTGGTTCTGAATGCCCTGCATTGGGTGCTGTGTGTGGACTTAGAATGCCCTGCATTGGGTTCTGTGTCTGGACCCAGGCTCAGTGCTGCCAATCAGAACATCATATTGGTGATGTTTATAGGAAGGAAGCTTTATACCTATATAAGGAAGCTCTGTGGGTGGGTGTGGATGTGTGTCCTGTAACAGAGGGCTCTTCCACAGGATGGAAAGAAAGGCGTTCAATGTGAGAGAGGTCTGCAGGAAGGCTATGGACTAACTGAAAAAGGGAAGGGGATTCTGGGGCAGAATGGAAATCTACTGGCCCTGGAAATGGCAGAGTTGTTTATTCATTTATTTATTCTTTTTATAAAAAAAAGATTTTATTTTATTCATATAGAACTGGGGTATAGGCCAGAGGTACAGGGGCAGTGAGAGGATTCACCAGAGACAGAGTAGGGAGCAGAACAGGCACATAGACGAAGCACACTGCTGAGGGGAGCAGCGGGCGGGTCAGGAGAGGTCTGCTGGGCCCTGTGGTCACCTCCGGGGCAGGTAGGGATCGAGCTCATGCGGAAGTGGCCTTAGCTTCTTAGTGCTGTGCTTTAACCTGCTGCGCCACCAGGGAGGGCCTCATTTATTTATTCTTAAACACATATGTGGAACACCTACTTTCTCGACCAGGGGCAACCTCAGTGAACCGGACAAGAAAGGTTCTTCTATTGGAGGAACATACAATAAACCTGCAAACACGGACATAAATTCATATAGTGAAATGATAATGAAAACAGAGAGATGTAATAAAAATAAGATGGGGGGTGGCAGCATTAGATGTAGAGGTCAGGAATGCCTGTGTGAGGAGGTCTCTGAAGGAGACCAGAGGATGTGGAGATGTGTAAGACTGGAGGAGGGGTTTTTCAGACAGAGGGCATAGCACATTCAAAGACCTTTACAAGAGGATGAGGGTGATAAGATTGTAGGGAAGAAAGAAAGCCAGTTTAGCTAGAACACAGTGGTTGGGGTCAAGCCAATGGGCAGAGGGGTCTTGATTTTACTGGAAGTATGGTGCTAATGCACAGAAGGATTTCTAGCGGGTAGACGACTCACTGTCATTTTAAATGATGAATATTGTGGAGAATAGGCTAGGCATGCTCGGGGGTGGGAGAGAAGAGGGCTGACATGAGAGGTAGCAGAAGGCCACTAGAAGGGAGAGGTAGGGGGCTGTGACAGCCTTAGGGGAGTGGACCTGGCTATGTGGTTAAAGTGCTCATGGTGGAGACAGAGAAGGGGCTGAATTTCAAGTGATGGTGGTAGATCTCGTGGGTTGCTGATGGATGGGTAAGACAAAGTGAAGACTCCAAGATGATTTCCAGGTGTGTGGCCACGGGTTGGTGTGGTCATTTGTTGAGATTTCTTTATGGAAAGATGGAGGAAGCTGTGGGAATGACTGCCTGGACCTTGCAGGGGGTTGCTGGTGAGACAGGTCAGAGGCAGGACTGTAACATGTTCAGATCAGGAGTGACAATTTATTTCACATGTTCTGCTGCCCGTAGGTCCTGTCACAGCTCCCTGGGTCACAGTAGACATTACTAATCAACAGTGGCACTCTTTATCACGTCCAGATGTGCACTCAAAATCATTTTTAGCACAATCTTGGCATAAATTGTGCAGGTTGTGTCCTTCACAAGGGCACTGAGCAAAGGCAGGAGTCCTGGCCTGACTTGCGGCTGCATCAAGAGGAGCTGTTTTTATCTAGCTGTTTGCCTGGAGAGAGTCACTTTTTCTTAATGTGCAGAAAGGGGCCCAATAAGCCAGTGGGGCTCTGACACTACAAATTATCCTGTGTTGGCACATGAGATGAAATCTATTTGCCATCTATAGTCCTCCCCCTTTATGTTAACAGTTATAGATACCTATTTATTTATTTTTTTTTTAAAGATTTATTTATGCATACAAGAACTGGAGGGGGGTTGGGTAGGCCAGGGATGTGGAGGGTAGAGGCAAGAAGATTTTCCAGAGACAGAGTGGGGAGCAGAACAGGCAGATCTACTGCAAATACACTACTGAGGGAGCAGTGGGGTGAGACAGGAGAGGTCTGCTGCGCCATGTGGGTCATCTCTTTGTCCATAGCTGGGATCAAACTCAAGCTTGATAGCTTGATAGCACTGCACCACCAGAGAGGCTCCAGCCTCCCTGCCTATTTAAACTCAAATTTTAGGAAATTAAAATGAAATAAAATTTAAGAATATTGTACAATGGTTGCTGTAGTCATGATCAAGGGCTAGATGGCCACTGAACATTCCTGTCACTGCAGAAGATTTTATTGGATAGAGCCAGTCTAGTTACTTACATGTTCAGCACCTTCCCTCCATGTAACTTTTCCTTCATGGGAGGACTGCCTAACTTCTGGGGTCTTGGTGGGGGCTTAGATTTCACTTTGGTTGCCTCTGTTTCAGCCATGTGGGTGCTGTTCAACAATTCCTCTTCCCTCCAAAAGGGAGACTCATTGATGTCTCAGAGATTGGCAAGAGTGTAGCCACAGAAGAACAAATCTAAAGACTTTCTGGGGAAGGTGAATGTAAGCTGCAAGTAAAGGGGAAGTAAGAATGAGAAAGGTTATTTTTGAATTTATGCTGAGCCCACAAATTCGTCCAACTAAGCTAAGAAGAAGGTGGAATATTCCACTTTCAAACTGAGGCCCCAGAGGTTAAATTCTCACAGCTAGTTAAGCTCTTAAGCCACGAGAGGAACTTAGGCCTGGTAGAGATTCTGAAGGGATGGGGTGATGAGAGGCAGAGCAGGAAGTCGGGGGTGGGGGGGGACAAGAAGGGGAGGGGTGGGAAAGGATGTCCAGAGCGCCTAGTGCATGCTGCAGCATCTGTCCTGACTCATCGTCCTCAGCCCCCTGGGGCCTGACCCAGGTCTGGCTGGAGTCCAGTTCTGGGCTCTTTCCCAGGAGAGCATGGTGAAAATGCCACCTGCCTGCGGAGAGGGGTGTGTGGGTGAAGAGGGGGCAATGAGGAGTAATGGGGATGGGGAGATGGGGAAGGTGTGGTGATCTGGACCCTGCCTCGGGATGCTCTGTCCAAAGGTCAGGGAATGGGGCTCTCTAGGGTGTTCCTTGCTGTGGGGTCATGGGAAATTGGATTCACGCCAGAAGGCTCTGCAGTGGGGGTGGAATCGGAGTGTGCGTGGGGTGTTGTCTGGGCCCGGAGTCCTACCTTAGCAGGGTTTTCTTCATGGCCAGCAACTTCTCTGTTGCCCCAGTCATTCCAATTTATACACCATCCGCTTCCTGAGGGGTCACTTTGAAGCACAAGCACAAGGCTGCAGGGGCCTCCTTACCTCCTAGAGTCAAGCACAGCACCAAGGCTGGGATCCTTTTTCCTTTCCCAGACTCAGCAGTGAGGTACCCATTGGTGCCATTTGTGCAGTGGACAGGGCTAGGGAATGATCTGTGAGTGCTGGGGCAGGACTGAGTGGGCAGGAGTGAGCTTGAGGACCCCTTTCTGCCCCCTCCTCGACTGAGTGGGCAGGAGTGAGCTTGAGGACCCCTTTCTGCCCCCTCCTCACTCATTTAGGGATGTTTGTGGTAGAAGTTGGAGGTAGAATGGGATGTATTGGCAAGTGGCTAAGCTTAGCAGAGGTGGGACACTGATGCAGACAGGTGTATGCAGGAAGGGGGGGTGTAGTCTAGGAGGGCTTCTTGGTAGAGGTAGCATTGGAACTGGTTTGGCATATTTCTAAAAGGTCAGGAAAGGAAACAGGTGGATAGTGCTGGGGTGAGGGGTAATGAATGAGAGTATGGTCTAGCCCCAGGAAATAGAAAGTGAAGAAGCAAGAATCTGCAGAAGGTTGGACAAGCTTCTAGAAGCAGGAATTTGGGGCGTTCAGGTCTTAGAGATTTGAAGGCTAGAGCCACCAAGGACAGAAGCAAGGACAGGGTGCAGAAGAGAGCTGATGTGAAGAAGACAAGTTTTGGGTGGTCACATTCACCCTTGTCTTCCAACTTAGTGACTCCACTTGGCTTTCCTCTTGAACTGTTCTGTACACTGTAATGATGCTAGTCTTCCACTGTGTCTCTGAAGTCTTCCCCATCACCTTGGCCAGAAACAAACAGGATCTGTTTTCTATATGTTTATGCCATGTCACTGCACTTAGAGAGCAGCCATTAATGTCTGCATCTCTTACCTCCCAGCTGGGTTCTAAATGAAGTGCCTTGGCCAGTAAGAGAAGCTCCAGTATTTGTTGGATAAAGTAACATTATTGGAATAAGTGCTCCCGGACCCTCCCTGGTGGCTCAGCAGGTTAAAGCACATCACTAAGAAGTTAAAGCGACTTCAGCACGAGTTCAGTCCCTGCCCCAGAGGTGATCCACAATGGCACGGCAGACCCCTCCTGACCGCCCGCTGCTCCCCTCAGCAGTGTACTTCCGACGATCTGCCTGTTCTGCTCCCCACTCTGTCTCTAGCGAATCCTCTCACCACCCCTGCAACTCTGGCCTGTACCTCATTTCTGTATGCACAAATAAATAAATCTTAAAAAAAAAAAAGTGCCCCCACCACTCATGAATACCATGTGCTGGATGTGCTAAATGCTTTACACTGCTGTCTTGCTGAACTCTAGGAAATAAGGGCTTTTTCCATCCTCATTTTATAGATGGAGGGAGGTTGAGTAAAATGCTCAGGGCTTTTAAAATTAGTTCCTTCCCAGTGTCTCAAGACTTGTGGGATGAACTTATCCTGTCACACTGGTGCTTTCATCTCTGCTCTGTGCCAAGGCCTCTAGGCCTTCTTTTTGAAAGAATGTTCCTGAGAATCTTGGTGCCTGTCCCACTGCCTCCCCTCGGTCCTTAGGTACAATAGTCTGCCCAGCCTCTCACTTCTGCCCTCCTGTCTTTCCATACCTGTTTCTTGCCTTTCTCCTTACTCCTTAAGTTCAGAGGGTCAGCAGAGGTTGAATCACTAGTTTGGGGTATGCTCAGGGTCCTGTGCAGCATGGGGTGAACTCTGCAGGTGGTACGCTCCTTCTCTACTGGTCCCGATTTACCCACTAGATGTTCCCTCCTCATTACTTGACTCTTTGGGGTAGCCCATGATGGCTTTTATTATGTTTTCATTCCTTTTAGTTGGTGGTCCTTAGTCCTGGCTGCACTTCAGAATCATGTGGGGATTTAAAATAAAATACATGTGTTCCTCTCTTATATGCTGTTAGTCAAGTCTGACTTGGGCCTGATATATTTTTTTTAAAGCTTTTTATTTTTTATTTAATTTATGCATACAAGAACTGGGGCATAGGCCAGAGGTGCAGCGGGTAGATGACTCACAAGAGACAGAGTGGGGAGCAGAATAGGTAGGTAAAATACACTGCTGAGGGGAGCACCTGGTGAGACAGAGAGGTCTGCTGTGCTGTGTGGGTCACCTCCTCTGCAGTGGCTAGCAATAGCCTGATAGCACTGAGACTTTAACCCCTGAGCCACAGAGAGGTGCTTTTGGTAATTTTTTTTAAATGTTTATTTATGCATACAAGAAATGGGGTACAGAGGTGCGGAGGGTGAGAGGATTTACCAGACACAGAGTGGGGAGCAGAACAGGCAGATTGCCTGAAATACACTACTGAGGGGAGCAGTGGGTGGGTCAGGAGAGGTCTGCCGCACCATGTGGGTCACCTCCCTGGCCAGGAATCAAACTCTGTGCTGCAGTGGCTGTGGAGAACTTTGTAGTGCTGCACTTTAACCTGTTGCATCACCAGGGGAGGCCTGCTCATTTTTTTTTTAACTCATAAGTTTTTTATTTTTTTAAGGCAAGATAATTTTCAGTAGTACAGTAGTAAAGAAGCAAGTATCATAAGCAAGATAGCAAGTATCATAAGTCAGTTTTCCATTTCTGACCATTTTATGAATATGTTGTATATGCATGTACCTGTTAGGCACAAGTAGCAACATGCTGTAACATTGTTCTGCTTTCTTTTCTCATTTCATATATTTTGAATTTTTCATATCTGCACACGTCTACCTCATTCTTTAAATGAATCTGCTGCGTTCTATGATATAGATGTGCTGTAGCTTATTGAACCAATGCCCACTGAAAGGCTTTTAATTTTAGTGTTTAAAAAATGCTGCAGTGAATACATTGTACTATGGCTTTGCTCATACATGTAACTGTAGGATAAACTCTTGAGACATTGGACTGTTGAAGCAAAGGATCGGTGAATTTGTAGTTTCTAGATTGCACCCAAAGAGGCTGAAGGAGTTTATATTTCCACCACCAAATACATGAAGGCATCTGGATTTTGATAAAGTTATTCTTGGGTGGCCGTGGTTGAGTTAACCTTGCTCCTGAGTTGTCTGCAACATTATTATTTCTCCTGGGCCACAGCCATTTGGGAACTGGTGCTGTCCAACTCACCTTTCCTTCTCATTCTTCCGCCCACTCTGGTTAGGATACTGAGCTGCAGAGAAAGCTAGACCATGAGATCCGGATGAGGGAAGGGGCCTGCAAGCTGCTGGCAGCCTGTTCCCAGCGTGAGCAGGCTCTGGAGGCCACCAAGAGCCTACTGGTATGCAACAGCCGCATCCTCAGCTACATGGGCGAGCTGCAGCGGCGTAAGGAGGCACAAGTGCTGGAGAAGACAGGCCGGAGGTGAGCACAAGGGAGGCCAGGCCTCCTGGGGGAAGGCGGTGGTATGTGTGTCCATGGAATAAGGACTACTCTGAACATGACCTCCCCCTCTGGGACCTGGAAGATATCTTGGTCACATCGCGAGCTGTGCTGCCCCAAGTGCGCTGGCGAGTCACGAGGGCTGGACTCAGGAAAGCCAGTGCATCAGGTAAAAGGCTGAGGCAGTGATGCAAAAGCGCTGACTTGCTAAGCCCTGCCCTGATGAGACTGACTGGCTGGTTTCTGAAAAGGTACTTTAGCATAGAATAACATAGTTCTGGGGGTCACCATCAGAGGCAGGGACTGCGAAAGGAAAGGAACGAATTGCTTAAGGGAAAACCTATCTCTTCACATTAACTAGTTTGTGTGTCCTAAAAGGGCTCAGCTTCTGAATGTGAAACATAAGCTACACTGTCAAGGACTGCTGATGGACAAATCTCAGTGAAATGGTTGAGGTGAGGCTGTGGTAAATCTAAAACGTTGGAGAAAATGCTTGGCAAGTTGATCAATCTCAGAATTGCCTAATTTGCATGAGCTGGTCAACTGGAGAACTGACTTCTAGCAGGGCAGCTTGAGTGATCCCATGAGGCTGAGTGGGGAGACCGTGCCAGCCTTTACTAGCATGGTGTCCACCCCAGCTCATCCATGAAGGCTGACACAAGAGGTTGCCTGAAGCAGTCCACAGCTTAACCATGAAGCCCTCATGGGGAGGGCGAGCAGGTGGAAGAACAGCTTCCCCTGTGAGTTTGGGCCTCTTGGGAGTGGCCTTCAGCGTGCTCTGCCCTGCCTGAGTTCCCACATGGCTTAGACAGCGTGACTGCAGGGACATCCCACCACCCTGAAAGCGAAGCACATTGCCATCGCCGTCATTTAGTTTAAGGCCCTAAGTCACCAATTACATTAGCAGCATGATGAATTAGCATGGGTAACTGGCTGTCACCTCTGATGATGGGCAGGCAGGGGAGAAGGCAGGGGTCTGCAGCCCTGCAGTGAGGGACTGGGAGTGGGGGCACTGGGAAGCTTCGCACACCTAACCAGGAGGGTTAGGGAGAAATCAAAGCTGAGGGGGAGGGAGGCGCAGGGGCTTTTGGCAAATGGAACATAAATATTCCCTATTGTGTTTTTTTCTTCTCATCAAAGCAGTCAACTTGCTTTTTGACTGACCCAGTAGCCTTTTATGTCAAAGAAATGACGAGGGAGCAGAGATGAGCTGCTTCCCTTGTTGAAAAGAAAGTCTGCAAACGCCTCTAAGCCTGGGGTTTGATGGAGAAGGCCCTGGGAAGGGTGTCTGTATGGGCATCTATCCCCTCAAGGCCTCACTTGTCCCTCTCAGGGGTGTGGAGGTGGACTGGGAGGGTACTCGGGTGGGAAGGAACTCTGAGCACTGCGTATATGATCAGCTGATGTCTCAAGTGTCCCCAAGATCAGCAACCTCCTGGGTTTAATCAACAAATCTTAAAAGTCCATCAGCCCTGCTTTGTCAGCCTCGCTGGGGACATGGGGCTGGGTGTCCCTGAACCCTTGGGATAAAGGGGAATCCGTCTGGAGGCCAGCTAGGACATTGTAATTTGCCCACAGGCCTTCTGACAGCGGAACCCCTGCTGAGCGCTCCCCCTGTCGTGGCAGGGTCTGCATCTCTGGTAAGAAGCACAGCTACCCCAGTGCTGGACCCCCTTGCTCAGCCTCAACCCCCTTGTCTCATCATCTGTTCCTACCTCTGTGCCCCTTAGACCTCCGGATTCCACTCATGTGGAAGGACACAGAGTATTTCAAGAACAAAGGCGGTGAGTTCTACACCCTGGGACAAATTCAAAGGCGTTTCCTTGAAGTTGGAGACTCGTGGGGCTACGTCCTGACCAGTTTAGTCTTTGTCCTCAGACCTGCACCGCTGGGCTGTGTTCCTGCTCTTGCAGCTAGGGGGACACATTCAGGACACAGAGATGATCCTGGTGGACAGGACCCTCACGGACATCTCCTTTCAAAACAACGTGCTGTTGTGAGTAGCGCCTTCCTTTTTCTACTCTGCTCCCAAGCAGAGGTGCTGTAGCCACAGGGGAGTGGGAGGAGAGGACTTGGGCCTGCCCCGTGGAGCTGTTCTGTACTTGCACAACATCCTTCCTGCCTCTCTGGACTTCCCAAGCACCATCCTCCTTTCTTCCTCCCACACCCCTACAGTGACGGGGCAGGGCCAGACTTTGAACTGCGGCTAGAGCTGTACGGGGCCTGCGTGGAAGAGGAGGGGGCCTTGGCTGGTGCCCCCAAGAGGCTTGCCACCAAACTCAGCAGCTCGCTGGGTCGCTCCTCTGGGAGACGCATCCGGGCATCGCTGGAGAATGCTGGAGGTTCAGGGAGCAGTCCCGTCCTGCTTCCCACCCCAGCCGTAGGGTAAGGCCCTGCATCGCTCTCTGCCCTCAGCTGCCCATAACTGGCCATAGGTGACCTATGCAATCAGGCAAGAACGAGCAGCAGCCACAGAGATGGAAGTCACTCTGGCCTGTACCCCAGAGCTGTGCTGAGGCCAACTGAGAGGACCACCAGGAATGCTGGGACAGCTAAGAGTGTTAACTAGTTTTTTTTTTTTTTTTTTTGTAGTGACTACAGAACAGTCTGGGCCATGTGGTTGTGCCTAAAGGCACCATATGAAACCACTGGTTCTCTAAGGAGCAGTTTGAGGACCTCTAGAGTAGTAGACAGAATGCTGCTTTGGAGACAGATGTTTTCAAATTCCAGCTCCAGCAACCTGTTATAAGCTATGGGCAAATTTCTTAACCTCTCTAAGCCTCAAGCTGCTCATGTGTTAGCTGCAGATTGCCACCAACCTGACAGGGTTGTCATGGGCATAAGAGGGATAATATGTATAAAGCACAGGACCAGGGACTTAGCAGGAACACAATAAATGTCTGTTCCCAACCCCTGTGGGGATGGCAAGCTAGTTTCCCACCGGCAGGCTGCCTGGCCCCGCCAGCTCTTGCTCTCCCACACGCGCCTCACTCAGTTGCGGCCCACTTCCCCATCTGTCCTACAGTGGCCCTCGTTACCACCTCTTGGCTCACACCTCACTTACCCTGGCAGCCGTGCAAGATGGGTTCCGCACACACGACCTCACCCTCGCCAGCCATGGTGAGTATGTGCGTGCGTGGGGGACACTGGATGGTGAAAAGAGGGGCCGTTGAATGGTCCTCTTCTCATTCCCCACCCTCACCCTACACTTCCTCCTCCCCAGAGGAGAACCCCGACTGGCTGCCCCTTTATGGTAGCGTGTGTTGCCGCCTGGTGGCTCAGCCGCTCTGCATGACTCAGCCTGCTGCAAGTGGTACCCTCAGGGTACAGGTGAGGGGGTCCTGAGAATCACAAGTGAACAGGGAGAAAGACCGAGAAGAGCTAGATCACCTATGAGTCGGACACTCATGAAAAATCAAGATCTGGGTGGAAGAAGGAGGGCTATGACAAGATGAGAAGAAGATCAGACAGAGGGTGGGCAGAAAGGAACAGATCTTCTTTGGGCCTGGGAGGAAGGGTATTGGGGGCTGGGATTCCCCTAGGAAACCATGAGTCATTTATGCAGCAAGCTGGGGAGCTGCAGGACTGGGTCCGAGTGCATGGAGTCCTGAAAGGCACAAACCTCTTCTGTTACCGGCAACCTGAAGACGCAGACACTGGGGCAGAGCCGCTGTTGACTATTGCAATCAACAAGGTGATGGATCCTCTGGTGGTGAAGCCACCATGTGGCAGGGCCTGGGGTGGGCCTCACCTTCAGGACCCTGGGGATGGGGGTGCAGAGCTCAGAGCCATCAAAGTGAGCCTCCTGCTCCTAACAACACCACACCAGCTGTAGGGCCAGGAATGCTGAGGGGACCATATTCTCTCTCACCGACATCACTGAAATAGGATCATCCTTTTTATTGCCAGTCTCTGACAAGTTCACCCCCAGTTTAGGATTTTTCGTCCTCCTTCCAGCTTTCCGCTCAGATTTCATTCTCCATCTACTTCCCTCTTTCCTGGTTTATTTTCCTGCTTTTCCACCCTGTCTTTTTGCAGGCTGTCCTGCCAACTTTTTTTTTTAGATTTATTTATTTATGCATACATGAGCTAGGGTACAGGCCAGAGATGTGGGGAGGGCTAAAGGATTCACCAGAGACAGAGTGGGGAGCAGAGTTGGTGGGTCTACTGAAATAAGCTAATGAGGGGAGCAGCGGGCAAGGCAGGAGCAGTCTGCTGCACCATATGGGCCACCTCCTTGGCTGGGGATCAAGTCTGTCACTGTTGACTTCTGTAACAAGGACGGAGGTGAAAGCCTTTTCTTTTTCCTGAAGGAGACTCGAGTGCGGGCTGGGGAGCAGGACCAGGCTGCAGGCCGGCCCTTCACCCTGAGCATCAGTAACCAGTACTCAGAGGACGAGGTGACGCACACCCTTCAGACAGAGAGTCGGGGCGCCCTACAGAGCTGGATGGAGGCTCTGTGGCAGCTTTTCTTTGACATGAGTAAGAGGAGGGGGCTGGGCTGAGCCACAGGGGCTTGTTTTTACCAAAGGCCTCTATTTCAAGAATATGGGGAAGGGAATGTTGCAGAAGAGAGGGCAGCCTGGCTCTTAGCTCGATTCATCCTCCCATCCCCAATCAATGTTCTTTCTTCAGGTCAGTGGAAGCAGTGTTGTGATGAAATCATGAAAATTGAAACCCCAGCTCCACGGAAACCACCCCCAGCACTGGCGAAGCAGGGGTCTTTGTACCATGAAATGGGTGAGTGAAAGTATGCTGTGGGAACCTGAAGGGAGGTGGGACTGAGTGGGTTCAGGGGGACCCAGATAAAGGAAACAGAGAAAGCATACTTTGGGCTAAGAAAGAGCTCGGTTATGTAGTGTTTTTTTTTTTTTTTTTCTTCTCTAGCTCTTAGTGTTCTAAACAAAGTTCAAAACAAACCCCCCTAAACCAAATTCATTTCATGAATTTCTTCCCTAATTTCTTTTCTGTTTCCCTTTCTGCATGTGGATTCCTGTCTCTTCCTCTGATGCTTCACTTGCCTGACACTGCTTTCATTTTCCTCCACTTTCTTGATTTCTTCACCCATTTCTGCCCACACCCTCCCATGCCCAACCATCCTACACCTTATATCCCACAGTCTTATCAGAGCCCAGAGCTCCAGGGGGTCCAGGTGAGGGGCTGCTCCTGCAGGATAATATAATCTCAGCGGACATCCAGGCTTTGCTTTCCTCCTATTACAGTGACAGGTGATGGTCAGGGCTGGGTAGGCCTGAGACCTGAGCTCTGACTAGCCCCCTCCCCTTAACTCCTTCCTGGTGCCACAGCTATTGAGCCGCTGGATGACATCGCAGCAGTGACAGACATCCTGGCCCAGCGGGAGGGTGTGAGACTGGAGACACCCCCACCCTGGCTATCAGTGTTTACAGACCAGCCTGCCCTGCCTAAGCCCTGCTTGCCTGCCTCAGTGGCCCCAGCCCGGACCCAACCCTTGCCCTGGGGGCGACCCCGAACATTCTCCCTGGATGCTGTCCCCCCAGACCACTCCCCTGGGGTTTCCCACTCAGCTGCCTCTCTGCCTCCACGGTCCCCACAGTCCAGAGGCCTCTGCAGCAAAGGTCCACCCCGCACTTGGCTCCAGTCACCAGTATGAGAGAGAAAGGTGCTGGCAGCAGGATCTGGCCAGAAGAGGAGATAGCCTACGTGCAGCTGGGCTCTGGATGTGGCACTGTCTGTAGCAGGGTGGCCAGCCTGGCCTCCCCCTCCTCTGCTGGACTGGGAAGAGGCTGAGGAGGGGGAGCAGAAGGCCTTCTTAAGTTATGGTTGCCCTGCTGCTGAGGACTCATTTCTGGGGCTGTCTGGGATCCCCCAAACCTTTCCTGGGAGAAAACTGGAACCAACCCTGTCCTACCTTCATGCACTAACCAGCTTTGAGGATGGCTGACGAGCCCTGGGCAGAAATGGGCCTCCCTTGTGACCCCCACATCACCATTAAAGTTATTTAACAACGGCCTTTACGTGGTTCTTGCCAGCAGGTTGGCTTTCCTCTCTGCTTGGCCTGGGGGCCCGCCCTCGCCCCTCTTCCCTGGCGCTTATGGAGTGCACCCATTATGAAGTGTGACCATGATACTGAGTAACCACACAAGGACTGGGTGGAGGGGATACTTTATAAATAGCACAGGGGAGAAGGAGGGCACTTCCCTGTCACACACTGCTGAATCTCAGGATCTCCGCGAGGTCATAGCCAGTCACAGCAAAGGAGCTGCCCGAGGGGTCACAGAACCGGGCACCACACAACTGGGTGTCAGCTACACACTCACCATGGCAGTGCTCCACCTGGGGGAGAAAAGGGCTGCTCAGGACCTGCTGCAGCTTGCTTGGGCACCCCCCACTCTGCTCTTCTCACCACGCACACCTCAATGGAGCCACTCTCTGGGTTTCTGCCCAGCTTCCAGATGTGTACAAAGGTGTCTTCGGCTGCTGAGAGTAGCTATAAAAAAAGGCAAGGTGTGAGATTAGGAGCTTGCAAAGAGGGGCTTGGCAAAGGCCAATGCCCAGGGCTACACTGAGTGGTAGAAACAGGCGTGTGGAGTTCCTCTCCACTCCCCAGACCAGGGCCATGGGTATGTGGGGATGGAGGAGACTGACCTTGCCGACCTTGGGAGTCAGATCCAGGGCACAGATGGCTCGAGCATGGGCGCTGATCTGGACATGTAGCATTCCTGTACTGGCCTCGTACAGGCGCACCTGCCCATTCCCATAGCCCGCTGCTACCATCCCCTGCCACAGCTGCACTGAGGGACACGGGACCCTGCAAGGGTGATGCCCCACTTTGATTTCCCCAGGCCCAAGCCCACTTCCCACCCTGAGGCTACCTTAGGAAGGCCTCAGCCCCTTCTGCCTCACTTACCCAAATCCTGGAATTCGGGTTAATAATTTGAATTCTGGGCCTGACCGCCAGACACACAGCAAGCCTGAGTCATCAGCTGTCACTATGTCAGCCACGCAGTCCTAAGAGAAAAGGCAAGATCAGCTTCCCTTTCTCCTCTGCTAGGCCTTGTTAACAGGGTGGGAGGAAAAGGGAGGCAGCATTTGCATCTGCGCCTCTCCAGAGACAGGCTGTAGGCCGGGGATTCCCTCAGGGAGCACAAATGCTTTCTGTGCTTTCATTAAGAGTTTCATGTCATCACACATTCCCCAGTCCCTGCAATATACACACCATGTGTTCAGAGGGGTATAGAGTTATCCTTACTGGATAAGTGAAGACATAGTATTGAGACCTTTTGGAGGCCTTGCAGTGAGCAGGTCACAGTCATGACTAGGTTTATGACTGGGTCTCCAGATAAACTCCAACCCCAGAGTTGCAAAACCCATGGGCCTGGCTCTGGGCCAGATACAGTGAAGGATATAATTAGAAGATATATACTCAGTTTTCTAGAGATTTGCAATACAATTGGGGAGAAAAGAATTGTCTTTGAGGGCAGTACCAATTCAGGGTTCAGCTAGGGAGATCAGTGGAAGCTGGAATTGGGGAAGGCTTTCTGAAGAGGGTGGGCATGAATAGGTAGGATTTGTCCAAGTCCAGAGAAGGAAGCTGCACAATTCAGAGCTGGAAAGTATCTTTGGAAGTCTTCGGTCAGGGCTCCTCAATGTACACCAGTATTGAAAAGTATTAGTGAACTATTAAATGCCACGTAATTGTAAAGTATCTCTGGTTTCATCACTGGACCTGAGGTTGCTGGAAGCTAAGAGAATGCCCAAAGTCTTTCAGCTGCGTAGTGGCCGAGCCAAGACTTGAACTCAGGTCCCCTGCCTCCCTAGGTAAGAAAGGTTTCTAGCTTCCAGTTGAGGGGAATACACTCACCTGCCCCTGTGCAGCCTCGGTGGCAATGTCTGTGATTGGTGTCTGGTGCTCAGCCAGTTCTTCGCTCAGTATAATGTTGGGACCCTTGGCTGGGATGTCAAACACCAGTACCAGGCCTGACCATGTTCCTGCAGGACCAGGGCCCCACTTGAGGCTTCCTGATCCTCCCAGATCTCCAGGCACTTGGCACTTTCTTCCATCCTAGACATCTTAGTAACAAACGCACCACTCACCACTCCCCACTCCGACAGCCCTTCTCCTCTATTCATTACCCTTATCCATTCCCACCCTACCCCCACTGAACCCCTGCATACCTTTAGGAATCTCTCAGACCCCTATTCTCTCCCAACCTTCCATCTAACCCTCCATGCTGTGTTCAGATGCTCAGCATCCTCCCATACATACCCCTACAGCCCAGCACCCACCAATGCCTGGTATTGGCCCCCTCACCCACACAGATGAAGTGGCCAGTGGCAGCAATTCCTCGGGCAAACACAGCTTGCACTGAGTATGAAAGGGAAACACTATCAGAAATAGTGCCTCCCCCCGGCCCCAGCCAACTCCTACCCTCACCCACTCAAGTCCTGCAGTACCTGGAGAGGCATCTCCAGAGTCCAGTGCATGCCAAAAGACCATAACAGAGCCATCAGACTCGTACATCTGTAAGGTGAGGGCAAGGGTGAGGTGACAACCTAGCAGCGGGCCTTTGCTGAGCTCTGTGTTAAGTATTTCACATTAGTCTTAGCCCATTAAAACAGAACAACTCTGGGAGGGAGGCACTACTTTTATTCCCATTTTACAGAGGATACAGGCTCTGAAGCGCTAACTAACTGCCCAAGGTCTCAGAGCTAGTAAAGTGGCAGGTATTAGAGATGGTACTTGGGAAATGGGAAATTGGAATAAAAATGAGAAATCAGGAATAGTGGGCTGGGCACTTTTGTAGAGCTTGGTAGTGTTCAGAGGTATGTGGGGCATTAAAAGCCTTTAGTGAGGGGTTGGGCAGGGAGGTCTTTTTCTTACCTGTATTCCACGATGTGAGGTGAGTACCAGCAATACTCGGAAAGGGAGCACACACCAGTGGACCTGGAGGAGGGGGTGGAGTATAGAAATGGTTACAGCAAAGAGCAGGAGGACTCAGAAGAATGGCAATTCAGAGTATTAGGGAAGGCCTAGTCATTGGTATTCGGAACAAAGAACGGGAGTTAGTGCTGGGTTCAGCAGCACTCAACTCTGCCTCACCTGGGTGATTAGTGGGGGGCTCACTCCGGCTCCCTCCTTAGCGTGCAGCTGGCGTTGGGCTAAGGACACACCCTCGGGGGAAGCGCTGAGAAGCTGGGCGCTGGGTCCATGCACTACCCCAAAATGTGTGAGGTTGCGCTCTGGCAGTGGCAGCACGCTGAGGTTGTTGCACAAGGCGGCAGCAGAGCCTCGAAGGGGGATGCAGCGCTCTCGGCGGAACATCCTAGAGGAGAGATGCTAGAATCGCCAGGCGCGCGCGAAACAGACAACAGCGGAGATTCCTGAGGGGGTGGGAGGGAGGCGTCATGAGCCCTGAGGTACACCCCTGAGACTGCGTCATGATGTGATGGGAACCCGGAGGACGGTGACGGGGTGGTGGGGTAGGGTCACATGCAGTGGGGAGGGTCTCGCGGAGCAGGAGAAGAGAGCTCTAGGGCTTAGTCATAGGGCGATGGGATAATCCCAGAAGAGGAACGGTGATGGCACAGCACCCGGTGGTCCAAGCGGCGGAGCCAAGGCGGGATGCGGCAGGGTAGTCCCGACTGCTTCCTCCCGCGGCTCGGTTCCACTCCCAGAAGACCCAGCCCAGGTGAGAGGTCACCCTAGCTGACCTAGGTCCGCTTGCCTGACGGGAGGGTTAGGTCGCTCCGAATCCGCCGCCACCATAGAGACGACGCACGTACGCACGGTCATTGGGCGGGGCGAGCAGACCGAACGTGCGGCGCGCCGCGCGGTTGCTGAGGCAACTGTGGGCGGTACTAGCCTTTGATGCGCGGCGCGGTTGCTGGGGCGACCGTTAGGCGGCGGCACACCCTGAAGGCTGGAAAACTGATGAAACCCGGAGATTGGAGTTATAGCTATCACGATGGCTCACGAAGGCTCGGTGAGCTTCAGCTCAGCTGGGGTATTTGGAACCAGAACCGGCATTGGCCATTAAGGGCGGTGTCAACAACTGTGGTCCTGCTCCGCGCCACCCGAAACCTGCAGTCGTTCAGGGTGACCTTGGAAGCTGCTTTGGTTCTGAGGCAGAAAACCTCAGCCTGCTTCTTGTCCACCCACATGTTTTGATCTGAAGGAAAAGATCAAATGGATGGTGCAGAGTTCCAGAACAAGAAGTGACTTTGGATATAGCTAATGCATATAAATCCATTTAAATGAATTGGTCAGGTATTGGGAGAGTACTGCTAGACAAATGAACTAGTTTAAGAATTTCAGAAATAGATTAAACAACAGTTTTTGTTTAAAGAGTTATTTATTTATGCATACAGAACTGGGGTACAGGCCAGAGGTGCAGGGGCGGTGAGAGGCTTCACCAGAGACAGAGTGGAGAACAGAACAGGTAGATTGACTGAAATACACTGCTGAGAGGAGCAGCGGGCGGGTCCGGAGAGGTCTGCCACACCGTGTGGGTCACCTCTCTGGCTGGGAATTGAACTCGTGCTGCAGTGGCTGTGATAGCTTCATGGTGCTATGCCTTAACCCGTTGCACCACCAGGGACGGCCCTGAAGAAATTTTAGAAAAAAACCGATTTGAAGAGCCTTTGTAGAACAGTATCTCTGACCCCTCTGGTTAAGCCATGTCCAGGTTGCTATCATAGGTTTCAAATGAGAGTATCGGAAAGGAAGTCTAAGGAACCTACTCGCCTCTCCTAGCCCAATCTGCCCTACTCTGGCCAAACCTCAACCAGGCTCTGAGCCATCTTCTGGGGTTGCTACAAGGGCGGTTCTCACCAGCAGAGAGGGAAAATGAGAATTAAGGGATCTGGAGTTCAGTGTGAGGTTTAGAAAACATCAGCTATGGGGAAGAATGAACTTAGTAGAACACTAGGTATGAGGTAAAAATGTTGGAGTGAGGAGGCAAAAGTTTGGGAAGATTGTGTTTGAATGTAAATTTTGGAAGGAATCAGGTTGAGGAAAACCAGGTTGAAGAAACTCTCATGAATCTGCTAGTAAATTCCTATGTCCCTAAAATGAATTTTGGGAGACTATACTTTTTTAAAATTATAATATGATACAGAGTCATTGTAAGACACAAAATAGAGAAGTGAAGCAAGTAGGAGAGAAACATACTCATATTACAGTTTTGTTGTTTTCCTTTCCTTCACATCATCTTTCTATGCTATTGCAAGTTCTTTCCAAATATTACCTTTAATCATCATGTAATATGACTTTGAGTGTATTTATAAACTGGAATTGATAGTTTTGAAGATTAGACTTTTTTCAAATGTTCATTAATCATCAACATTTTCAGTTTTAGAGAATGGTTTCCTTTGCTTTCTTCATCTTATTATTTGAATTTTTTATATACTTGGGATATTTTCTTTTTGTTACAAATTATTTTGTTTGGGAGGTAGTATAAAGTCAGGTTTTGGAGGCAGCCATATCTGCTTATGAATTATGACTCCACTACTTCCTTGTT